CTATAAAAAAAGAATTAATTAATTATTGCGGCAGCTAATAGCAACATTGTAGGTGACGAAAGGAGGACACAGCAAGGCTAAATATGCATAGTTTTAAGCAAAGATGAACTTACCAATCCAACCAGATACGAAAACACCCCCAGCGATGTATACAATGGTCAGCGAAAGCTGCACAAATGGCACAACAGATAACTTAGAGAGTACATTATTTCAGGATTAATGCCAGTATTTTAAGAAATCAGATGAAGTGGTTTTTAAACAGATAAACTTCGAGTAATTAAACAAGACATTCAGAAGAGCATACTTAGAAATCCCTAGAGAAAAGAAAAACGAAAGCATACTTAGAACAATGGTTGCCTTCGTTTGAGCATGCATTTGAGTAAAACAGAGGTTTAAAAGCTAGCTTCCAGGTTAATATACAATTTAGATGCAGAAAACACACGAAAGACAATATCCTTACTAGTCATCCATATAATAGCACCCCAGAAATCATGAGAAAATCCACTAACAAGCCAACGCGCATATATTCACAAAGTTGCCACATGTCAGAGAATCATGCTTTTCAAGGGAACATCATACTAACGCTAAAGATATACACAGGTTTAAACAACAGCTCAAAGTTTTTTTTAGTAATATTTTATCAAAGCTTGTTTAGTTATTTCACTACACTCGCATAGTCACATATTCATTTCTTGACCTAATACATTAACGAGACCAATGAGCGCCACAAACACTACGGAGATAACAACCTGACATGTTTTACCTCTCCACTAAACAGAAAACCTAAACCTTTAACCTCAATAAACACACAGAAAATTGTGAATCTTCTAAAGCCTAAAAGATTACGTTTTGACTACATATCGCAAAACCAAACACTAAACTTCCAATAGCTCCATCCAACAAGACAAACCTAAACCTTTAACCTCAAAAAACACACAGAAAACTGTGAATCTTCTAAACCCTAAACATTTCCTTATGAGTACACATCGCAAAACCAAACACTAAACTTCCAATAGCTCCATCCAACAAGACAAACCTAAACCTTTAAGCTAAATAAACACACAGAAAATTGTGAATCTTCTAAAGCCTAAATATTTCCTTTTAAGTTCATATCGCAAAACAAACACTAAACTTTCAATAACTCCAAACACGAAAAGCCTAAACCTTTAAGCCTCAATAAACCATAGTAAATAGCAAACCTTCTTCTAAACTCTAAAGATTTCGTTTTTCCACATCGCAAAAACTTATAAAACTCCAACACGACAAAGCCTAAAGCTTTAACCTTTAAGCTAAACAAGAATCCCCAAAACCCCCACACATACCTCAACAAGTCGATTAAACTGATCATCAGGCACACTCCGCCCCCCGGACTCAACGGTAAACGCAAGCACCTCAACAATCTTCGCAAAGTAATGCAAGTAAACAATAAGCGCAGTGCCATGAGCAGCCGCAGCCACAGATCCGAGCACCATAAGCACCCAATCGAACCGATCAGCGCAAGCGAAGAGCTGAGAGAAAGGCACAGCCGCTGGAGGAGGCTCCATCTCCTCCCCTTCCTCGATCTCCTCCTCCTCCTCCGCCTGCGTCGCCATCCCTCCCCCGCCGCCGCCGTTCTCGGCTCCGGGATCGAGGTAAGGGGACGGAGACTCCGGAGGCTCGGAGACTTCCGAGACGGGGGTTAAGGGTTGTATGTGGGGCGGAGACCATCCGAATAAGCCGCGCGATACCATCATGGCGTTAGATGACGGAGATGTTGACGGAAGTTTTTTTTCTCCGTCTCTTTTTGATTAGGGTTTCGGATTTTGGGAATGGAATCTCGACGGATCTGTTGGGGGGGGAGAGGGGGGAGAAGTTTCGAGAATCGGCGAAGATATCGATTTTTTCCGGTAAATATTGGGATTTTTTTTAAAAAGAAAGTTTTGATTTTTAGTTTTTGGGTTTTTTGAAATTGAATAAAGTGACAGGTAGACAAGTCTTGGGTGTGTGTGTGTATGTGTGTCACCTGATGTAACGCTTATTTTTTATTTTACATTATTATGTTCAAAATTTGTAATGTATTTTGATTATTTCATATTTTAAATAAGTATGTTTTGTATTAATTAATTACTCCCGGTACCTGCTGATGGTCAACCACGGCGACGAGTTTTTATTTTATTCTTGTTATATTTTTTCAGTTCTTTTTTTTTTGCTAATAGTTTATAGAAAAAATCGTAATTGTTAAATGTTTAATTTTTATAAGAGAAAATGATTATAATAGACCTAAAATTTTTTTTATCATAAATCTAGACTTTAACAATTAAAATGACCAAAATAACACTTAAATATTTTATTAAATATACATTTATATCCCTTGAATTAACTAATTCTATTTTTTTTTTGTTTAGAGTTAAGGAGTTGGATTTTTGGGTAGGGTTTCGAATTTTAAAGAACTTAAAGAAAATTCAAAATAAAAAGTGTTATTTTGATTATTTTAATTTTTGAGGTTTATTTTGTGATAAAAAATTAAAATAGAGCTATCTGAGAGAATAGCCATATTTATAACTTATTTTATGGTTGACAAAAAAAAACTGTTTATGAAATAATGGTTTTAAAGATTACAAACAGGTTTAATTTTTATTTGATTTATCTCTCTAATTAGGTCACCGCCATATTCCTAACAGGTACCAAACTTCAATCATATTCACTGGTGTCGATGCGATGAAGATTAGATAACAGATTAACATCTATGGACTGTGGTGTTGATAAAGCCAAGTAAGTTGTTCTGTTCATTACTATATATATACGGTGGTTGTCTTGTTGGGTTAATTATATTTGACGTTAATATTTGAATAGTTTGAAACTTTGTTTTTTCTTCAAAATAACATTATATATTCGTGCTCCAACCAAACCATACATATCACGAGAATTTCGTTCCGTGAAGGATTTTTCTGTATAGGTCAAAAGTTAGATAAAGACATATACTGATTAATAGCCTGAGGGATCATAAACTAATATTAAAGATATCATAATTATCAAACGTTATTCATTAGTAACATGAAAACTCTTCTTGATATAATAGAATGTAACAATATACAAAAAAAGTTGTATAAACTCTGAAAAGTGTGCGTTTTGGTTGGTGTGCCGTGAAGAATGCATGCAACAATAGCTGTCATCGTTTCTTACCATTTTCGCTGTCGAAGATTACTAGCTAGAAGAGCAAAGTAAGGTGTGGGTGACGAAAGAGATGGGTGCTACGACTTGTGAAAGTAGCCTTACCCAGTGGGGGCAGGTATATATCATTGAGGCAGTATGGATGGAGATACTCTTTTTTCTGCCAGTGCATTTGATCTGTTCCTTCTTTTTTGTTATAAAATATCCACCTTTTCTTGATCTTTAGCAAAAAGGAAAAACTCCACACATGTTGATTAAACAAATAACTAATGAGATTGTATATTTTCTAGACGATTATTTGAAATCAGATCATTTATTTATAAAAATGTTCGAACACAATTCAGGATTTTAGTGTTCTTTTCTACTTGTAGTCAAATATATATATATATATATATATATATATATGTGTTAATTTAATTTTTCAATAATCGTTCCATTGATTTGTATACCCTAAACGTTGTATTATATTCCTTAAAGATGTATATTATAGAAAAAAAATTGTTTATTAAAGATCCATCTTTTTACATTTTCAATGTATTTTTTATTAATTAATTGTAAATTTAAAAAAACTTAATTACATTAATTGACTTTTTATTGGTTTAAAATTATGGAAAGAAGATAAATATAAAAACCTATACAAATTTATTGTGTTTTATTAAATATGTGAAAAACTAGAATATAGATCTTTTAGAAATGGAGAGTAAGTTGTAAACACTCATTGTAATGAGTGTTAGATTATATCATATTTCCGCAAGAATTTGGATGTTTTGTAATATACACTTCATATATATCCTAATTTTGACTAGCTACTATGTTAGGAAATAAAAGTCATCCAATAAAAAACTGTCTCAAATCCAAATTATCAAATAATAATGGTATTTTTATTTCACGGTTTTTTTATAAAGTATACTAAAACATACAACCTAATTAAATACTTTTATAGAATCTAACTAATAGATATACAAACAGTATATATGTAGCTAAATTCTAGTTAAGGAGATCTTTTTCTCTGATAAAAAGGAGATCTATAATAAAGTATGGTTGATTATAGTTGGAAAGACATTCTAAAAAGATAGCATAATTGAAACTAAAAGTTCTGTGTATCTCTATTTTTCTGCGGTTATATAGTATTGACACATGGTGATGGTGGTGGTCTTTGCTCGACTATCATTTGAAAGTTTTATAGCACCAGGCATGTGTGAGCTGAGCCATTTGGGGTTGGTACGTAATGTCCAAACAATGTTTGGCCTTTAGTCAACCTGATCAAAATCTAGAGTTAAAGTCGAAAAGATTATTAGATTCAATGTTTTTTCAAATGATCAAACATGATGGTGATGTAATCAAAATTGTTTGGTTTAAGGCTAATCTATTAAGAATGACTTGTGGTATGCACGCTTTTCTTTGGTTGACAGAGAGGAAGTTTCATTACATGCCTTTTTTGAACAGGTCAAGAACAAAAGCCACGCACATGTATTGAAAACGATATTTCACCTAAACAATATATTTGGTCAGTATAGGCTTAAGTTGCAAGTTTATGATAGAAACAACTATTACTATCATAGTCATACATTTACATACACATGTGAAATCAATGTTGGTGTTTTTGCTGCCAACATCTATGTTTTTATGTCAGATATCATAGTACACATTATAATAATACCTACTGGTGAAAATCATTAATCGGTGAATGCTGACAAAACAGCCAAGTTTGAGTTTTACTTTGACGAGGCTTTCTTGTGCAGCAAGTAACATAAACCCACGAGTGATAGCAAGTTAATTAAAAAGCATGCTCGTGCGTGTAAGTTTAGACATAAATCTAATGTCGTTGTCGTTTCTAACCTGAGTTGATTTCACGAAGATAGTACACGCAGCGGCTGATCGCTGTTGACTATCTCCTGTAGAGCCAATATCAGTTGATTCGTATCCTCTTCATTCTTTGATCCTTCCAACACGACCAGTTTTAAGTTCTTTAGTACTCTTGCATGTTTGCTCCCATGGTCAGAATCAACACTAAGTTCTTCATTTGAACTATAAGTATTTGAATCAATCTTCGAAATAATAGTTGTTAGAATAGGAATACTCAAAAGACGTGAAACAAAGAGTTTAGGTGCTTGTCTGCTTGACACTTACAGTAATGAAGACGTGCTCGATTGAAGGGCAAAGTTTGAGAAAAGAGATTAGGGGATTGATGTTTTCTTGTTTCATCGAGTTATCAATCCACCGCAACTCATGTAACTTGTAGAATTGGAATGATGTCCAAGAAGAGGATATAATTGGTCTGATTAGTTCCTATAAACAAAAACAGTAATATACAACTCTCAAAAGCATGCTCTAATCTTAGAAAATGAATTAAATTTAGTAAAAACCTATTGTTCAAAACTAAATAATATAATCATGAAACAAAAGATATAGATATTATCTTTAATTGTTACCTCAAACATCCATCGGCAAAGTGTAAGAGATTGAGAGTTCTTGATGATCAGCAAAAGATGACCGATGTCATCAAAAGCATTGTTGCAATAACTTGGACCTCGTCTTACGTCGAAGATTGCACTGGTCAAGTTAAAATGTTCATGGATCTTGATAGAAGGTAAAAATCCTTGGTAATGAAGAGTTTTAAGTTTAGATGATCTAATATCAAGATATCTCAGCTTCGTGCAACCAGAGATCGATAAGTGAAGAAGCTTAGTTGGTGAATCAATAGTGAGAGAAGTCAATCCCTTGCAATCACAAATCTTGAGGCTCTCTAGCAAAGAAAAATCCAACAACATGGAGGAAACGACCTCGTGGGTTAGTGAATAAACCGAGTCTAAACAAAGTGTCTTCACCAAGAAACCTTTTGACTCTACACGTCTTGGGATCTGTTTGTTAATCTCAATACGCCAGCAAAAGCTCTCTTCTCGCTTAGAGCCATCAGAAAAGATGAAGCTCATATGCATGACGTTGTTAGGTGCAAGAATAGTTGATACAAAGGTTGACTTGTCGAAGTGCAACTCCATCTTTCGAGTGTTTTTAGACGGATCGTGTTCGTTGAAGTTGTGGATGAAGCGAGAGATGGCCTCGATGGAGCCGTTATGGCTGTGTGCAACGACTAGGGCTTGGCTCCAAACGAACCTAAACCGTGTGGAGACGAAAGGAGTTAGTCTTGCTGACTCGAAAGGGATGAAGCTGATGATGTAGAGAAGAAGCTCTAGTGGTAAGCTAGAGATGATGTCTGGTCTTTGTTCGGACATGGTGATTGTATTGTGTGAATTGTTTGAAATTTTCTTAGTGTGTTTATTTGAAGAAGTGCTTTTATGGTACGTACAGGTTTTGATTTATATAAAATCTGGATATCTCGCCGTAGATCATGCTCCTCTTGTTGTTGGAAACACACTTCATTAGTTTTATAGATTGTATAAGTTTATTTTATTATTATAGAAATGCTCATACGTATACGTACGTACACTAGATGTCCTCATTCTACGTATTTCAATATACTTCCTTTGTGTTTTTTTTATTATCAATAAACGTACATCTAAAGATGTCAACGTACTTCAATACGTAGTCCATTTCAGAGCACTCTAAATAATTAACCGGAGTATTGGAGTAAGAAATGTATGTTCCAAAACTTCTGAGCTTGTCATACGAGTATAGGCTTACTTATTCCTGATCCTTGAAAAAGACTTAAAATAATCAAAAATCTAGACATTTGTTTGTTTATAGTACTCAACTAATCACAAAACGATAAATGTTTTTTCATGCTCTTTTATCTAGTAGTTTTGATTCATGCCAATGCTACTTTTCCCTCTAATATTGCATACCAAATTTGGTAATATTATAGTCTATGAAGTTTTTTGTGGATCAATCACGCATTAATATTAGAAAACCACCCTTGGCTTAGTTTTTTCATATGGTTGTCTTACAAAAGCATCAATTTCAATTTTAATAATTCTATAAACCGATCAGTATACCAGGCCAAAATCCAATTCCTTCCCTTTATTACCGGTTCCATTTTCCGTTTTTTTTTTCTAAAGGGTATTGGGCTTTGGACATTTTAGTGGGCCTGATCCTGGGCCATTACAGTGGGTTTGATGTATCAAGACGCTTACATACCCACTGTCAATGCATCGGTATAAAAATAAAACCAGAAAGGGTTAACGAAGAAACAAGAAAGGGTTTAATGGCGAGCTTCGATGTGAAGACGATAGTCAAGGACAAGAGATTCTGGGCAGCTTCCTTCCTCATCGCCTGGGCTGCTGGTCTCCAGGTCATTGATTTATCCCTTCATTCTATTTTTTTTTACAAATAGATCATATGAATTATTGTTTGATTCTGGAAGCTCAAATCTTGATCTGGAACGTTATGTAATTGAATCTCAGGGGCACATGATGTGGCTCCAGAGGCAAGATTCTTTTAAGCAGAAATTCGGAACAATCGATGAAGAAGAGCAGAAATGATTGAACCATTTAGCTGCTTTTTTTGTGAGTCTTGAGGATGGTTACAGATTTGTTTTGAAATATTTAATCAAATGGTTAAGTAAACATCATATTTTATGGAGTTTTTTTTTGTTGTTGTTGTACTAAAGAATTGCCATCTTCTTCTTCATTCTACAATTAGTTTATTTTATTTTATCAAGACTTCTAATCCAGTGTGGTATATAGGATCTCTGTAGTTGTTAAGAAGTGTCAATAAAGAGGGATGTTGTGTTTATTATTTTTCAGTGAACAAAGATAAAGTGGGCGGTGGAGTTGAATGATTTCTCTTGTAATTCACTCTCAACAGCTAAGCTTGTCCTTTGATCAAATCTTGTAGCTTTTCTTCGCTTATAATCCTTCAGTGCATCTTCAGATCAACTAAATTTGCGTACTGGATTAAATGAAAATTTCATAATCTATTAACCATCAGATATAATTGCTCAAGAACAGCTAGAACATGGGCATAAACACACTCAGCTAGAACACAAAAAGCAACACAACCAAAACAAGATTGAAATTTTTTAGAATGTCGAGTTAAAATATTTTACTGGGTTTATGTTGGGTTTTAACGGGTTGGGCCTATGGACTCGGCCCATTCAACTAAATCTGATGTGCATTGTTCCAATATGATAATGCTGTATTACACAGAACGACGTAAAATCCTCGAGATGAGCATATACTGTGAGTTTATTCCGTCATTTCATATTTTGTTCTTCTTTTCTTTTCCGAAGAAAATTCTAAATATATATACCATCAAATCTTATATATTAATATAGATCTAATTAATTGCCCATATATAAACATTAAAGTATACACAATAATCAATTCTCTAATATATTAATATCAATCATTTTTAATATAGATCAATCATTTCAAATGGTCGCATAATGTTTTTATGAAAAAGGAATGTGATTCTCAACGGTATATATTGTGATACGCTACAACCCACTTTATTTAATCTCTTTTTACTTTTTGTTCTCAGTTTTCCTTTATTTCATTCAACTTTCTGCTTCTGACAAAGTTTTTTTAACTGTTTATCGTACTTTACATATGTCAATGTCAAGTACGATGGTGAACGGATCTTGAAATGACTAACTCAGAATATTCGAACAAAACAACACCGTACATTGAATGCTCTGAAGCCACGCCTTCTCACAACAAAAGCTGTCACGTTCAAGTACACAATCTTTTCTCGCACAGATGCTTTTCTTAATTATGCGGCGATGAGAAGCCGCAACAAACAAGAACCTCTAAAATGCTGATTTGATGCTCCATCACCCACCACCGCATTACATCACGCTCGTGCTCCAAAAGTATTAACTTTCAATTATCTTTTATGGAGATTACGTATGTAAAGAAAGCAACATAAAGCAGTTGTTTATATTACATAAGTCTACTTGTTGCAGATTTTAATGCCAGGTGTTGGAAATAATACGTAGGAAATCCACGAGAGTTTGAAGATGTGTTACATAATTCAGGAACTCAAACGCACCATATATTAATTATTCATAAAAAGGTACTTTTATTAGTGCAAAACATTTCATATTATCATAGCCGGATACAAAATTTAATAAAGCCAAAATTAGCATTACAATAACATCACTCTTGAATCTACCAATCAGTACCGAGGCGGTTACTGGAAGTGGGACTCATTATTTGATAATCGCCGTTAGTGCTTTGTTTATTTCAGACTGATTCATTGGTGATAGGTCTAGAGGTCACAACATTTGCATCCTTTGTCTCCATATCTGCGTTATCTTTCAACGAGAATGTCACAACTTGCAGATTACTAAGTGGGAGCTCATTGTCCGTGTCTGAAAATGAATCAGATGGTTCGTCTTTGCTTTTGCCCCACAAAACGGAATAGAGCCCAAGAACTATCACTATTGCTCCAAGAATCCTACAAATATTATTTAGATATATAATTATATCTCTTGAGGTTTTTGGAAAAAACATCAACTATTTTTAAAAGCTTACGTACCTTCCAAGGTACATAACCTCAGCAAGAAGTATAGAACCCAAAATCGCAACAATGACCATGCTCAATGGATTGAAAGCAGTCACAAACACCGGTCCTCGAGTTTTCATTATTACTCCTTGAACGTAGTAACTAACACCTGAACATATTATCCCCTGCATCATATCACCGTCCGTAACATCATTTAGTTTAATTTGTATTTAACAAAAATAAACCCTAAATATATATCTTACTATATAATAAGCTTACACCATAAATAGCAGCTAGCAATTTGGAATCTAACTGGACGGACCAAGCAGCAGGGTTGCCCCTTTCAAGGAAAAGCGCCACGATAGTGCTTTCAATAGACCCCATTAAGCATATGTAGGCTGTCAAGGATAGCTCTACCGGGTATGATTTAAGTGTGATCGCCTGCATATAACCAAATCATTAGTTGAGTGGTTAAGTACGATAACCGGTTCAGTAATTCTTGGTTCTTTACTTGGAGATTGACAAAACCGGCCCAACAGATGCAACCGGTAGCTATGAGGAGTGCGCCTTTGGTAAGATCTGGTTTGACACCAAGATTTGATGAGTCTTGATGATTGTCATTAGGATGAGCCCAAGGCAAAGGAATTAAAGGTCCTTTCACAACAGTCATAAGCATTGCTCCACCAACAGTCACAACTGTTCCTAGAATCTTGGCTTGACTGTGTATTTTCCTGATGTTAACCTTCTCAAGTCTACACATTAAATATATTGATCCTTTAGACAGAATAAAAAAATTGAAATTGGAGAGAAACATAAACCACTTTAAAGGAAACAAAACTGTGTGTTTAGTGACCTGAAGATCCATGCCATAAGAAAGGCAAAGGCAGGAAGAATGTTGGTCATTGCAGCTGTGAAAGTCGCGGAAGTGTACTTCATACCAGTGTAGTATAAGTTCTGATCAATTGTTGGTCTATAAACATACAAAAAAAAAAAATTAATTTAACACTGGGTACGTAAAACATAAGAAATAAACAGACAAATGTTCAAAAGTAAAAAAAAAAGATATTAGTAAATTAATCTTACTCCAATAATCCGAGCAACACTATCTTGAAGAAGATAGACAACGTCATCTTTGGCCGTATTTTTCTGCTCATTTCAAAATCAAATTAAATTAATATAATCAGAAAATCATTTTTAAGATTTTTTTTTGTAAAGAATACGTATTCATACAAATACGTACTTGCTTTTGCGTATACTAAACGTAAACGCATACATGCATGACCATAAAACTTTTTTTTAAGTACGCCAAATGAAAATACTATACCTATCCAAGAAAAAGGCAAATGGAGCAATGAAAATAGTAGCGATGATATGGCGATATGAAGCTAGAACGTGAGGGCTCATGCCTCGGTCCAGAGCGAACTTCGCTATGATCGCTAGTCCAGCGTATCCGAATTGTAGAGAAACAATAGTTAGGAATGGCTTCCATGTATTTAGAGCCATATCTCTTTCTCTACGCACTTTGGTATAAAGTGAGAAATAGGAAATATGAGGTAAGAAATTAAAGAGCTGATGATGGAGAAATGTGGGAGAGTATGAGGTTGGTTTTATAGGACAATTTTTAGGGTTTAGTATTATTTTCCATGTGAATTTAAATAGTTAAAATATGACTTTCGGGTTTGGATGAATTCTAGGGATTCCACTTAGTAATGCAAGTCTGATAGTGAGGGTATAGAATATAAATCATTCTTTAGATGTTATCCTGAATTATATAATAAGCACATACACAATCATATTACTAATTTGGTGGTCGTGATGGTGATGAAAACATCAACTCAAATTGTTATAAAATTCAAATATTTGGGGTTGTCCTTTTCACCAGGGAAACCCATGAATATTTCTCACTGGATTCACAATACCATTGGTTGGATATCCATATATTTCAGATATGTTTCCTACAAGCATGCTTAATCGTTATCCGATTACGTACACTAGAAAAAAGAAGAAGAAATATCAAGTTGTCCACATACTTTAGTATCCAAAATTACCATGTCGTAAAAATATAGTTTAATGGTTTCGTAGCGTTTCAACTTGTTGTCTTGTTGAGAACTCATACAGATAAATATATTTTGATATACAGTAAGAACAAAATCTTGAAAAACTACTGGTCACTATAGTAGTTGCAGTAATTTCTTTCGAAGAAAAAAATTCGCTTCCTACCAAAAAAATTGGTATATGTATATAACATCGAGAAATATATTACAATGTACAGACCGTTCCTATCAGTCGGTCTCATTCTCATTCACTCGATCTATGGGTCTCGTATACTGAGGATCAATGTGTTAATATTGTGAAACTTAATATTTTTATTTATTACACGACGTGATTTTTATCTAAGTTTTGACTTCAATTGCACCATATCATAAATCACTCCTCAGTAAATTATTGATCATTTCACTATCCCTATTCAAATATACTGAACTCCGATTTTTTTTTTTTTTTTGGTAATTGATCCAAAAAACAAATGATTGACATAGATAATTATTTATCAATTTTATTAAACCTTTTATCATACACTAAAAATTGGAAAGTTACGAGAATAAGAAGTCATTAAAAAAGTAGCAAGCGAATATGATATATAGCCAAACAAATGGGGATGATGAGATGCTATTGAGAAACACAAGTGGATCCAAGTCGATTACAACGAATTATTGAACCCACCAAAATTAAATATAACTTCAATCAAGCTGGAAATACAATTAAAAATTGTGAATATACATGTCCACAGAACACATATAATAATGGAAAACGCATAATGCGTCCGAATCGGATCATATGTGGATGAATGATAACAAAACAACTTTTGGCCAACGTCGTGGTTGATGATTTTTGGCAGTTTATGTGACTCTCTCCACCTGGAACCTCTATCTCTACAAAGAACAATCATAGTAATTTTTTTTATAAAACTTAATAAAGGAATATATTTGCTTATACCTGACGAATTCTACAAAAGTTTAATTCCCGACATCCTCTATCGTAGGCATAACATGTTACGCGGTGAACCGTCTCCGACCATTTATATTCCCAATCTTCAGTGTAATATGTTTAGACTTTTTGTTTTATTTTGTATTTTAACCTGTTCCAAATATGTGATTTGTCATGATAATGATGGTTGTCAATGACATTCAAATGTAAATACGTTAATACCTTATGTGCAAGTTAAAACCTTCTTTAATTGTGATATATCATATATCATCCGTGAATATGTATCATGAACCTTTTTAAGATATTGAATCAATGAACTTACACATAAAATGGTGTGAAGATATTGTTCTCCCCCACCAAGTAGGACAAATTTGGCAAGCTGAGTTTGACATCGAATTAGCTTAGCTGGATTTTTGAAGTAGCGGATGCATCATCATTGATTTGATACTTGATTCTTACTAGATAACTATTTATTAACAAAAACATCAACATACTCTACTTTTTGTTTTTTACGAAATTTTATTCAATAAAAGATCTGTTGATAACAAAACATCAACCAACAAAAAATATCTCAAAATTATCAGACCAGTACAACTCTCGAAACCAAAAATTCAAAGGCATCATGATAAATTATAACTATTTGTAAAGAACCAATTTAGGATAGTCTCTAGTTTAAAGACCATTTTCATTTTGATATTGAGAGATTAGGGTTTGAGTCTTTCCATTGTATTTAATTATAGTTTCTGTCATTTCCAAATTCTCCGGCTATAAGAAGGGATAAAAAGTATACATTAAAAGAGTCATAACCTAAGACAATAATGAATAAAAACGAAAGCAAAATGATAAGTAAACGAAACTTGTAATATTTATCAAAATCCGATGATGCATAAATTCTTCTCAACGAGTGGTATTCCTAGTAACATCCAGCTGCATAAAACCATGCGTGAAAGCCTTCTCTGACTCGATTATTTTATAAATAAAATCCACTACTCAACCGGTAGAGTATGATTTATCCAACAACAATATGAATGTATATTTTTTGGTAAAAAAATATGAGTGTATATGTTTAGACCCACGTCAAAAACTCCAAGCATACATTTTAGTTTTGTTTGTATTTTATAATTAGAATTTTACAACTCCAAGACATCACGTTTCGATCAAAAGAGAGAAAAAGAAGAAGACATTATGAATAAAAAGGAATGTTACGAAATGTGTGAAGAATACGTATACAGTATCCAGTATCCAGTATCCTGATCTTTAAATATACGCATATCCGCCAAAACAAGTGTCAAGTGGTATAGTGCGGGATGAAATTTATTCACTGCCACCAGTAGTGCAAGAAAATATTAATTTTGATTAATCATAAAGTACGTCTAGAATATTTTCTTAAATTAACAGCATGTGAGTGTGAGGGAGGCTATAGAACTAAAGAAGCAAAATGAAAGTATGACTTACATTTTCTAAGAAAAGATTTAGAGTGAAAAATATTAATATAACTAGAGTTTGACCCGCACATCCGTGCGGGTATATTTTTTATTTTATAAATTTATAACTAAATTTTTTAAACACTTGATTTATATTTTAGTTTTAATAATAATTATATATAATAACGAAATAAAGAAATACCTATTCTATAAAAATATTAAATGTTTTTGGTAAGATCTTGTTAGATATTTTCAACAGATTTTGTTATATTCAAATTTGTTTATTATTAATATTCTTATTAATTATTAAGATATTTTGAAAATAATATATATTTGATTTGTTAATGTAACAATAAAAAATGTCAAATAAAATAATTAATGACATAGTCCAACATGACTTCTAAATAGTAGATAAATTTGGTACTTCTCTTTTAATAGAGAAGATATAAAACGAAAAGTGTAGATAAGATAGTGCCAAGACATGCATGTCTCAGATGTATGTGTTGGTATGCTCTTTGGGGTTGGTTTCGTTACCATTAATATACTACTCTTTGCTCCACTTACATGTGATGTGCCTATTTTGTGTTATGTTCTGTTCGATTTGATCAATATTCCATTTTCTTTGAACTTTTGGATATTCAACAATTTGGATATGTTTAATTAAATTACATACAAATAAATACCTCTACAAGTGGTCATTGTAAACCTTAAAATCTACTCCCTCCGTTCCTTAAAAATATATATTCTAGAAAAAAAAATTGTTTCTAAAATACAAAAAACTATATAAATTTTATATTTTCAAATTGTAATTAAGAAACAAATTTTACACTAATTGATTTTTTTTTTGTTTAAAATTATGAAAAGAAGATAAATACAGAAAAACTATATAAATTTCTTGTGTTATTAAAAAGTGTGAAAAAACTAGAATATAGATTTTTAGAAACAGAGGAAATATATATATAGTAAATATAGTATGGTATGGTGTGGAACTACTACAATGGTTTCGGTTTAGATTGGATTTTAATTTTAACGAATATCTTAAGAAAAAACAATTTTACTTTTTTTGGTTTCGTTCATATTCAGAATTGATTTCCGGATAGTGAAAAAGTTTGTTAACATTATACATATCATGCTCAGACTGATTTTTAATTACAAAAATTTCAGATTCGCATTCTGTTTTAGGCGAATCGAACATTCCTAGTTGTAATCATGTATTATTGAACAAACTAAAATAATCTATAATTTATCTGATAGCGACGTACACTTGAGCTTTTCATAACAAGTATAGTTTTAAATTGTTTTATTAGAGAACTAAACCAAAGCAGAGATATGCCAAAAGGTCAAAAGGCGGTCTCCGACTCACTCTTGCTGATGTTATAGAAACTCTTGTTCTAGTTGAGCCGCGTCCATATGGAACCCTTTAATACGGTATGATGCAGCTTCACGTATTTACAAACAGAAGAAGTTGGTTTCACCTGATTGTTGTATTAAACTGACTTCAAACTCTATAAACAGACCAGGTCCTAGGTTTTATAAGACTAGAAGCAACTATTTTAAAAATAAAATAAAAGAAGATACGCATTACTGTAATTTCCAACCTAGATTGACGTGCAATAATCTCAAGCTTATACCACTATACTAAAGAACTATTATGCCCATGCTACTTTTGGCTTGTCCAAAGGGCTGTCTTGTCTATAAACCTCTCAAGACAAGATTTAAGACAATTGATGTGAGACATTCAAGAGGTTTACGATGAAGCTGGAGCGATTAGTCACTGGAAAAGTATAATACGGACATTAATTAATCATGGTATCTGAATTTATGATTTTGGAACGTCTCTTATATTCTTCCTTTGGCTAATATTATAGCAGATTATTTGGTACTCCTTGGCCAGTTGATCCTTCTTTCTTTGGGACATGTGGCTAGGTGTATACGGTGCTCTTAGACCAACTGATAAAATGGTTCTTTCTAGCTACTCATTGTGCCCATCTTAATTTAATGCCATATTTGAATGAACCTCTTCGAGCTGGCCTTCAGATCGTAGATGTGTGTATGATTATGATGTTTGCATGTAATACCTTAGTTGTAGATGAAGCATGGTGTTTGATATAGAGCATTGAGCGTGCGATTTTTGGTTCTAAAACTCACTCATTAGCCAAGTGTTAGTTTTGTATTGACTGGTTTCTGAAGGCCTTTAGATTCTAAAACTCAGTTATTAAGGTAGAGGGATTGGCAATGAGATCGGCTCTCAAATGCTGCAAGGAGAGAGGGATAAAAACACTTCACTGCCTCTCGGACTCTGCTCAGCTCATCAAGGCAGTCAACAATGGTGAATCTTATCCAGAGCTTTATGGAATTGTTTCTGATGTTATTGCAATTTCTTGTTTTTTCGATGAACTCTCTTTCTCTTGGGTATCAAGAGAGAGGAACAGAGAGGCTGATAGCCTAGCCAAACTTTGTATGGTTGAGGCAGAAGCTGTAATGGCTGGAACCTAACTTTCTACGAGCATTAATATCAATTTGTGTTTCAAAAAAAAAATAAAAATAAGGTAGAGATTGTTAGTGTTAATAAGTAAACACATGTTCGCATCGCAACTAATAGAAAAAAACGACTACTAGACTAGACTAGACTAGTAGTTGAGTGTTCCTTCTCGTTCAGGTCTTGACCGGGTCCGAGCTTCCCAAGCTCTATGCTGTTGGGGAACTATTAACTGGTCTGGGAAGTTGTTGAAATATGTTAATGAAGTCAAGAAGAGGTGGGTCGTGGGCTCCCATATACAGTAGCAACAATACAGATCGCAAATCTTCAGTCGTACTTGAACATATAGATATAGCTCAAATTGAAACTTTCATTGAGTATAAACAAACTAATTTTTTTTTTAACACAAACTTAATACCCATTGTTCAATACAACAGATTCAGCATTCACCAACACTTATCTATATATCTACATAAAACATGAGTTTTCATAACAAATACAATCTCAAACATATTCAAAGAATTGCACCAAAACACTTAACATTGCGACAAAGCTATCTGATCAAATCACATTGGAAAAGAGTATTAAGTTAAATAATGAAGAGACTTAAGTAAACTGGTGTTTGGAAATGGCGAAGGATGAAAAAACGGATAAAATGGCTAGACAGACAAAAGCCAAGAGAAGCATACTAGCCGATGCGTATCCTCTGCTGAAGAAATTATCCACAGGATCAGTTGGATCTAATACAACTAATGCTAGAATTGCATCTTTCAAGTCTTTGCTCACTCCAAATCCAGCCGCCGAACCAGTTGCCAATAAATATGATATTATCTGTCCAAATGTCATATATCAAAATATACATTTTTAAGTCAATCTTTTGTTGATTGCAAGCTTACAACAATCTATGATTAAAAAAATAAAATGATATAATTCATTATTGGTTAGAAATACGATACATACCTTGTCACCATAAAATTCGAGTTGATAATTAATAGGGTATTTTATTCTTGTGGCGAGTTCAGAGATTGTGAAGAACAGTTGTATGACAGCGTAAACTAGTCCGATGATGGCGGCTGAGAACATGTATCTTCAATCATTCAAAAATTAAACAAAACAGTTAATAAACTATTACAACGTATTGAGTCCTGAGTCTCCTGACATATCACCGACCCTTATAATGATTTATACATATTAACGGATAATATTTTGGAGGCTTTATGCGAATATTTCATCTTGTTGTGCTTAGAACCGGTTCTGGTATCACTAGATGCAAACGAATCTTACACCAAAATAAATTCGGTTTATGACATGTTTCCTCAACCAAAACCATACTAAACAACTCGGATATAACTAAATTATACAAGAACAGGAAGGAAAAAAAGTTAAATAGGCTCGTTGGGTTTACCTAAAGGCAGAAACATCTTTGAAATGAAATTTCATTACGGTTCCTTGAGATTCAATAGTGATGCTGTTGGTGCTGAGGATGATCACCGTTATAACGAGAAAAACTCCGGTTAGAACCCGAAGGAAAAGGACTACTACCTTTAAAGAGACCGGTGGTTGTGACGTTGGTGGTGATGCCATGTGAATAATAAGTTGCTCTTAAGGGCATCTAATGATACTATTTAGAAACTGGTAATCAAAGAGCACGAAGAACATAAGAAGCTTGAAATGTTCGAATACATGACATGAAATGTCAATTTTTATAACTGAAGAGAGATAGAAGTTGACTTTTGATCGATGTGATATGGTTGTCAATGTCAAACATAACATATAAGACGACGAATATTATGTAAACATAACATATATTGTATTATATTGATGCCGTGTTGAAACTCGATCACCACGTCTAGCTCACCAAGTGATAGTGATTTATAATATACTATATACTTAGAAAATTACGCAACCTTAAACAAAGTAAGTTCAACGGATACAAGTATAGTTATTTAATGGAATTGTACGATATATTTGTACAAATAAATCAATAATGGTGTATCCGCTAGGTTGTAAACTGACATGTACTAATTTTTTAATTAGTGGAAATTCACCGTATCAACATTTCAACGATGTCCCAATCCTTTTCTAAGCCCCCACTCTTCATTTTTTGAAACACAACTCTCATTCATTACATAAACTTAGGTGGGAGCCATGACCCCTCCATAAACGTTCGACATCTGTTCTTGCAAGCATTTAACCGTCTAAGCTAATAAATAATAGTAACTGAAGTTCCTAAACCCATATATTTACATTTTGACGTTTAAAAATAGTGTTTCATGACCTTTAGTCCAGAGCCAATCGTGCTTAAAATTCCTAGAGTGATATTTGTGTTTGACATCTACCAGCTATGTGCAAAGCAAATTCACAGCTTAGAGAAGATATTTACAATAATACTACTGTTTAGTTCTGCTCCTTTTATGACATTATTCTCAATAATTTGATCTACAATAACATTGCTAATTTGGTAGAACCTTCTTTTAGGATAGTTGGATATAATAATGTTTGTGTGCTCAAAGCATGAAACCATGTTTAGATAGAATATATATATATACTTGAAAAAATAAAGAATTAAAGAAAAAAAACACACCTCTAACTAAATTATTGTGTTGACAAAAAAAAAAACTAAAATATTACAAAAAGAGGTCTACTTAGAAACAACATGCCGTTTTTGATCTGCACATTCCGACATCGTGTTGTTTTAAGTTTTAAGTAACCACAGATCCAAAAACGACACTTTCCTCTACGGAAGAGCAAAGTCCAAAAGCCAAGTTTCGAGATTCGTTGACCGATCTTAACAGAAGAGAAGCCATGTCGGAGACCGTCGTGCACGGAGAAGCAATCGAATGGAGTGAGGAAGAAGAAGANTTTTTGATCTGCACATTCCGACATCGTGTTGTTTTAAGTTTTAAGTAACCACAGATCCAAAAACGACACTTTCCTCTACGGAAGAGCAAAGTCCAAAAGCCAAGTTTCGAGATTCGTTGACCGATCTTAACAGAAGAGAAGCCATGTCGGAGACCGTCGTGCACGGAGAAGCAATCGAATGGAGTGAGGAAGAAGAAGATTCCGATGACTCAGAAGAAGAGTACACCTCTCCGTCGCAACCACTCTCTTCGTCGAATTTCGATAAAGATCGACACTTGGTGTATTTACAGATGATGTACGAGTTGCTTCCGTACCATTATCAATCTCAGGAGATCAATCGTCTCACTCTCGCTCACTTCATAATCTCTGGACTTCACTTTCTCGGCGCAACAGACCGTGTTCGTCTCTCTGTTTTCCTCTGTTTCTCTCTGTTTTCAGTTCTGTATTAGAACGTTAAAGTGTGTAGCTTTCTTATGTGGTTTCTGATTTTGAACTTGATTTCGTTGCTCAAGGTTGATAGAGATGTAGTTGCGAAGTGGGTTTTGTCGTTACATTCGTGTTTTCAGTTTCAGTTAGGTTCTGTAATAAAAACGTTAAAGTGTGTAGCTTTTTTTATGTGGTTACTGATTTTCAACTTGGTTTCGTTGCTCAAGGTAGACAAAGATGTAGTTGCCAAGTGGGTTTTGTCGTTACATTCATGGTTTCAGTTTCAGTTATGTTCTGTAATAGAAACGTTAAAGTGTGTAGCTTTCTTATGTGGTTACTGATTTTCAATTTGGTTTCGTTGCTCAAGGTTGATAAAGACGAGGTTGCGAAGTGGGTTTTGTCCTTCCAGGCCCTTCCTAGTAACAGAGCTTCACTTAAAAAAGGTACCTTTTTTATTGTATTGTTGTGTCTGAGAAGCACGAGAACTTCTTTTTGAACTGTGAGGTGTTGATTTTCAGGTGAATTCTATGGTTTCTATGGTTCTAGGAGCTCTCAGTTTCCTATAGATGAGAATGGGGTAATGATTAGTCTATTGTTTCTGTTTTAATATCTTTGTTTTGCATGTGTGAGGGGGACTTAAATCTAGTCTATGGTACAGGATCTGACTCACAACAACAGTCACCTGGCAAGTACGTATTGTGCCTTGGCTATTCTGAAGGTCACTGGGCATGATCTCGCGACCATCGACTCTGAATCACTATTGTTGTCCATGAAAAACCTTCAACAAGATGATGGAAGGTATTAGTTTGAATGCATTTTGTAGTGCAGTAAGTTTTATAAAAACCTCTTGGGGGTAGAATATAAGTTTGTTATGTCGTCATATAATAACGATTAATGTGTAATGGGGTCTGAATTGGGTGTGATTACTTTGTTTGTTTGGCCATAGCTTCATGCCTATCCATACAGGAGGCGAGACGGATCTTCGGTTTGTATATTGTGCTGGTAAGGAATAGCTGCCGGACAGGATTCACAGACGCTTTTATTTTACTTGAGTCTTATTGTAGTTTTGTTTGTTTGTTTGATCAGCTGCAGTCTCTGAAATGCTGGGTGATTGGAGTGGAATGGACAAGGAGAAGGCTAAGGATTACATATTAAACTGTCAGGTTTGTTTCTATTTTGGTACTAACTTGATCATTTTTCTTCCTCAAAGTTCCTTATTTCTGTTGTGAAACTTTCTCTGTGCAGTCATATGATGGTGGCTTTGGGTTGATCCCTGGTTCTGAATCTCATGGTCAGTTGAAAACAATTCTTATAATCCTTAACTTGGTTTTGTACATGTGCACTTAAGTAAGTAACGTATACTATGTGCACTGGATGATAAAAATGTTACTAAATTTTCTTTACTAAACACTATGGATAACTAGTCACTGGCTTTTACTTCAACAGGAGGAATATTTTGTTTCAGTTGACTGTACTCTTGTTTATGATTCTTACCTACGTTGCTGCAACTTAGCTATGCAGGTGGTGGTACTTACTGTGCTATAGCATCCCTTAGATTGATGGGGTTTATTGGAGCTGATCTGCTGTCAAATGATTCATCCAGTTCAATACTAGACCCTTCTTTGCTTCTCAACTGGAGCCTACAGGTATATTGCTTCATTTGATATTGCTCAGAGGTTGCATGTCTGTCTTTTGAAAATTACCCTAATGCTCCTGAGTGATGTTATGTTCTTTTAATTTCTTTGTCTATAGAGACAAGCCAGTGATGGTGGATTTCAAGGTAGGACTAACAAACAAAGCGACACATGCTATGCATTTTGGTAACTCCCCTCATCCTTTAGCTATCACTGGACTCTGTTTATTCCCATCCGCTGATACGGTGCCTTTTTATACATGTGTGTAGGATTGGAGCTGTCCTTAAACTCATAGGAGGCGATGCATTCATTGACAAAATTGCTCTCCGCCAATTTTTACTGAGCTGCCAGTCCAAGGTAAATAAAAATTATAGACTGCAACTAGAGCTTATAATTTTTATTTAGCTACTCCATAGTACTACTAGTTGCTGCAAAACAAATAGCGTGTATGACCTGTTGAGATCATTTGTGACATTCATGTTTAACATCTTGGATTCTAACAATGTGATTAACGTTTTTGTTCCAGTATGGTGGATTCAGTAAATTTCCTGGAGCGTTACCGGATCTCTATCATTCATACTATGGTTACACTGCTTTTAGCTTATTGGAGGAACCAGAATTGAGTCCTCTATGCCCTGAGCTAGGGTTACCACTTCTTACATCCTTGGGAATCTGATTCCCCCCCTCAAAGTCTCACATTCTTTTATCAACCAACTGTAACTTTTATTTAGTCAGGATTGTTGGTTTGTGTATTTTAATGAATTTAGATATTAAAACGAAATCCATATTTTATTTATCTTTAGAATTCATGTTTTTGAAACCATGTGTTATATCATTCTATGATTTATAAATCTTTAATTTAACATTTCATAAGTGCCTAATCACTCTTTTTCAGCAGTTTGGTTTCTTGCTAAAATATCAAATTATTGATTAATATGGTAACATTACCAAAAAGCAAAGGAAATTATTGTAAATGAATTATTTTCTATTTTGATTATTGAAATGCAGAATCATCAGAAGAGTTAATTTGATAATTTCAGTGTTGTTGACGCCACTTTGGAAGTATCAGACATAAACTGAGGAGACTGAGACAAAAGGGGAAAGAGATTCCCCACTTGGTCTCTAATGAGTCTTGGCTTTATTCATTTATCGTATTATTCCAATTTATCGGTTCATGTTAAAAGTTTCAATACCATAAAAGAAAAAACTATATATTAACAATGTAGTGTTTCAAAGCGAATGATAATCAAATTAACAATGCTTATCTTTCTTCTCTTTCACGTTCACGTGTTCTAACTCAAGAATCCGCATCAAAAATATTAAACATTCGTTCAGAACTGATCCCTTTTTAAAAGTTAAGTTAAAGTTAGAACTGCTGAGTACGTGCATCTTTAAATGTCAACCACAACAGTATTGAAGACAAATAAAAGTAACAAAAACGAATCCAAGGCCTGTTTTTTTTTATTCTTTTTAAAAAACCATGATTTGATTGAATAATCCCACAAACTATTGGCTAAACAAATTATTTATCCACTGAAAATTTACAAAACCGGCTTATTCCATTGACAAGCCAGAATAATGTAGACCAAAAAATATGTTGATTACAAGGTAAGCATAGCAGCCAAAACGCTAAATCAAATTTACCAAGATAATTAAAATCCAAAGAAAATAAAAAATTAGCAAAAATCTGATTATTTCAATTGTAAACTCTTTTAAGTTCTTGGACCACCTTTTGTCATGTTCTTGATGAAAACTTCATCTTCAACAAATCTGACTCTTGAAACTCTGTTTTTACCAATTTAACCCTTGTTGACTTCCTCAGCTTCTTCTGCAATCTCCATCACTTTCCTCTTGTAAAGCTTCTCCTCTGCGTCTCTCAAGAACTTGAATCTCGGCAATGGAGACGATGATGTTGATGATGACGTTGGTGAATGTGATGATGACAATGGAGATGATCTCACCATCCTATTAAACTCAGCATCAGTAGATGACTCAAAGAAGACCCCTTCTCTTCTGCCGTTACAAGACTCCGTTAACGGAGTGAAAGGAGGCGTGAACAACGAAGGAGAAGCACGAGGAGTGAGAAACGGAGGAGTTGAACCACTTTCCATATTTAGAAACAAATCATTCAAACTCTTTCCTTTTGTGGAAACACCATCTTCAGATTCCATTTCCTCCACTGTTTCTTCCACGATAGTGAAGAGAAA